AAATAATCATCTCCTTTCTTCATTTTGGGTGTTAGGCATTATGTCTCAGCAACAAGTAAAAAGACACCACATAAACTACATAAACACATGGAAATTAAATCTCACCCTCCTGAACAACCAAAGGGTCATAGAGAAGAAATTAGATAGTTTCTACAATTAAAAGAATTGTAGAAAGAATTTGCATTAATTCTACAATTAATGCAAATATGACATATCAGAATTTATGGGACATAAAGCAGTTCCATGAGGAAAACTGATACATCAAAAAAACAGAACAAGCTCAAATAAATAATTCAGTTTAACTCTCAAGGTTCTAGAAAAAGAAGAGTAACTTAAACCCAAAGTATGTATGAGGGAGGAAAATAAAAATATCACAACAGAAATTAAGGCAATTAAGACTAAGAAAACAATACAGAGAATCAATGAATTGAAGAGTTGGTTCTTTGAAAATTACATAAAATAGACAAACCCTTAACAAACTTTATCAAAAACAGGAAAGAAAAAAATCCAGATCCACACAATTATGAATGAAAACAGTTAAAGCACAATGAATCCTGCAAAAACCCAGAAGATCATCAATACCTACTTTGAGAAATTATACTCTAGTAAGATGAAAAACTCAGGAGAAACTGACAGATTCTTAGCTACATGTGAATTACCAAAGCTAAATCACAAAGATATAAAAATTTTAAATAACCCATTATCAGTCAATGAAATTCAAGAAGTAATAAAAAAATCAACAAAGAAAAGCCCACGTCCTGACAGTTTCACTGCTGAATTCTTCAAGAATTTTAGAAAAGATCAACTTCCACTACTCCTCCAACTCTTTAATAAAATTGAAAGGGAAGCAATACTCCCAAAGACATTCCTGGAAAAAAAAAAAAAAAAAAAAAAAAAAACTTTACCCTGATACTAGAAGCAAAGAAAGATCTAAGCACAAAAAAGAAAACTATAGGTCAATCTTTTTAATGAACATAGACGTAAAAATCCTCAATAAGATGCTGGCAAGTAGAATATATAGAAAAACATTATATACCATGAATCACTAGATTCACTCCAGAGAAATAGGGATTGTTTAACATATACAAATCAACAAATCTAATACACATTAGTAAAACCCAAGGACAAAAACCACATGATTTCAACAGATGCAGAAAAAGTATTTGACAAAATCCAACACTCATTCATAATTTTTAAAAAAACTGTCAGAAAACTAGAATGGGGGTAATTATCTCAATCTGATAAAAGCCATCTATGACAAACCAACAGCCAACATCATACTACTAAATGGATAAAAACTGAAAGCTTTAACTCTAAAATCGGGAATGAGATTTAGGGTTGTTTTTTCTTGTTCCATATAGTTCTGGAAACATTAGCCAGAACAATTAGACAAGAGAATGAAATAAAAGGAATATGGATAAGAAAGGAATAAGTTGCACGATCATTATTTGCTGACAACATGATACTCTACATAGAAGACCCAAAATCTTTACCAAAAGACTTCTAGAAAATAATCAAATTCAGTAGTGTAGCTGGATACAAGTCAACACTCAAAAATCAATAGCATTCCTGTAAACAAGTAACAACGTCATTAAGAGAGAAATTAGGGAAACTATGCCTTTAACAACAGCATCAAGAAAAATGAAATATTTAGGAATCAATATAACAAAGGAAGTGAAGGCCTATATTCTGAAACTAGAGAAGGAAAGAGATTGACGAGGCTATCAGATATGGGAAGCTATCAGTTGTTCTAGGATAGACAGAACCAATGTAGTGCAAATAGCCATACTTTCAAAACTGTTATACTGATTTAATGTAATCCCAATCAAAGTACCAATAGCATACCTTGCAGAACTAGAGAAAACAACCCTAAAATTCATATGGAATCAGAAGAGATGTAGAATAGCAAAAACAATTCTGGGCAACCAGGGTAAGACTGGAGGCTTCGTGATCCCTGATTTAAAGCTATGCTACAAAGCTACCATGATAAAAACAGCCCATTACTGGCAAAAAAATAAAACAGATCCAAGGATCAATGAAATAGAATAGAAGATGCAGAAACAAATCCAAGAACAATTCCAAGCACAGCTATTTTATCTTTGACAAAGGAGTCAAACACCTTTAATGGAAGAAAGACAGCCTCCTGAAAAAGTGGTGCTGGGAAATCTGAATTTGCACATGCTGAAAATTGCACCTAGACCCACATCTCTCACCATGCATTAAACAATAGAATGGGTCAAAGATCCAAATATAAAAACAAAAACTAGATCTGCTAGAGGATAGAATAGGTAAAATTCTGGAACACATAGGTATAGGCAAAGACTGTGAACAAAACTCCAATTAGACAGGAAATATTAAAATCAATGACTAGGATCACATCAAAAGAGTTAAAAGCATCAAGTCTGTTATATATGTACACCCATGTTTACAGCAGCACAATTTATAATAGCTAAATCTTGGAAATACCCCACATGCCCACCAACAGATGAAGGGATAAAGATGTATTTATATACCACGCAGTACCACTCCACCATAAGTAGGGACACACTTGAGTCATCTGTAGGAAAACAGTCATCATGAGACAATAGTCATTTGTAAGAAAATGGGTAAACTTTGAGACCATAGTTTGAAGTGAAATGAGTTGGACACACAAGTTTAAATATTACATTGTTTTCCTGTGTGAGAAATGTAAAGGGTAAAGAAGTAACGTAGAGAAGGGTAGATATTGGGAAGTAGGAAAAACATGTTCAAAGGAGAAAGGGAACAAGGAGAGGGAAGGAAGGGAAGGAAAAGAAAAGAAAAAAAAGAGAATAGAAGGAAAAAAAATGGAAACAAAGCTCTTGTAAGATGGGAGGGGAAGATGGGTTAAACAGCGGGGAAGAGAATGGGAAAATAAAGAATCAAGATGTATTATATACAGGTATAAATTCCTGGTGGGAAAAAATAAAAAGAAAAGCAGGGTCCAGGTTTCAAATAAATAATTAAGATTCCCCTTTAATACACAAATATTACTTTTATCATCAACTTTGTTTCAGGGTATTTACTTGTAGGGTCTTAACATAAGAAATTAGAATTCAACTGGGATTAGTCCACTTCTAAGAAAAGTGCTAAGCCTCCTCTACAAACTCTGTACAGAGCCAAGCAGCTGAAAATTAAATACTTCCAAAGATGGGGACCTCCTCCCTTGCCAGGGCAGTGAGCCTATGCCGAGGACTAGACTGAAAGCTCCTGAGATACGGCACTGCCTACCTAATGCCAGCATGTGCCATCCCACACGCTTAGTGATTTTGGAAAATTAACCTCTGTGAGCTTCAGTTTACCCATTCCTACTAGCAGATACAAGTCCACCTGGGCTCAAATCCCAGTCCTACCACAGAGAGCATGAGACTTGGGATGGGTACTCAGTCCTTTCCTTGGTAAAACAGGAATAAAATCGTATTTATCAAAGAATGCCATTTTGAGTATTCAATGAGCATCTTCATAAAGTAAACAGCAAACACTGATTTCTAATAATCCCTATGATGGCAATGTGGTGATGACGTCATTATAAGCGCTGAATGGTAACTGCATGTAGACCCTGTATACAGTGCCTGGTACACAGAATTGGTTACGTCATTGTAGTATAGCAGTCATTAACTGACTGCGTACTTTATGAACAGATAGCTGCTCCTTTAATCTTCCCTAATGTGGGAGACAACTCCAGTGACTCCCCGTGAATGCAGAACAATTGCTGCAATTTTGGTTATATGGAGACTGATTTCTTTACACTAACATGTACAGAGCTGGCTATGGTATTTCCTTCTCTCTTCAACTGGCTCTAAGCATTACAAATAATGCTAGCTGAGGTACTGGTATGTAATCTCTAAAGCCATCAGACAGTCTCCATTTCCTCCCATAGTGCTCTCTGTAAAAGATATGAGCACAGCAGGATGGTAGAGCCATCAGCTCCAGGAATGTCAACTGGGTAAGAGCCTCAAGGTAAAGAGGCTATGACTCCTCAGGGTACAAAGGTTTACATATCAGCAACAGCCTCCTAAAACAATTCAATTGCTACCTTCATTGAGTTATGCAAATTGATCCTCCTCAGTAACCTTATCTCTGCATTTTGCAGAGATGCTTTTTTCCCTACCTGGCCAGCCAGCTCAAGTTACTCACGTGGTTCAGCCATCCTCACTGTCACTCATCCCCCACTGTCATCCCCTTCTTCACAAGGTAATAAATTCTGGGAGAGGCCTAGGATCAGGGCCTTGGTCCACACATCCTCATGGGGATTGGATTTAGGATTCCTTGGTTGCCCTTAACTTGGAATGTGTCTTGGTATCTTTACTCTCACTGTGGGTTGCATTGGAGGTGGCAGACTGGAATTAACTTGCTGCGATTCCAATAATGTCTCCATCGGATTACAAATATAACTTTTTGGATTGTGAGGAAAACTGGAAAAGGGATTACAATACTTGGATGACTGTACTCAGTGTTTGGAATTACAATACCTAAGGCCCTGCTAATGAGAGCAGAAAATTGAAACATGGAGGGATTAAATGACTTGCTCCAACTTTAATAGCTGGGAAATAGCAAATCTGAGTTAGGGCCTATGAGAACCTGACTTTACGTCCTAAATTCTTATTGCTACACAGTATTTTCACTTTCAATTAAAGTCTTTCCATATATTAAACCTCTGGACCTGCCCTAGCTCTTAGAACTCTTTTCTCTTCCATTCTTTCCCATAGCAGCTGAGGCCACAGAGTGTGGGGATCTCCTCCTGTACTTCCTCCAGGGCTCCTGACTCTGGGGACACTTGATCATGCGTGCCGGCCGCCAATATCCACCTGGACCTGTCCCAAAGTCTGGCTGGCTGTCCTGTGACTCTACTGGCTGAGCCAAGGCCCTGCCTCTGCTGAGAGAGAAAGACTGAATTTTCTGCATTGTAATAAGCCAAATTGGTAGGGTTATTTTCAGCACTGAAGTAAAACTGGACTCTTAATTCCTAAATTGGTCCTCACCTTTTTTCTTCTGGGATGCTCTCCAACAGCATTTGAAGAAAATCCTGGAATCAGAAAAAAGAAAACCATTAAATATGTCCATCAGTAAATAACTTCCTGGAACAATGCCACAGACTGAGTATTCCCAGCTGTTGACAGCTCACCTGCTAGGAGAGCTGAACCTACGTGGACTTCTTAGACTGTTTACTCAATTTATTAATTTTCCAGGGCTTCACTCCAATTGCTTAAAGAGATTTGTTTTGGAAAAACCATGAACAAATTGAAAAATGTAATGTTTATTATTTTGACCTAACCTAACAGTTTATTTCACATTTAGCTATTTTCGAAAGGCTGGCCATAGTATAAAGCACCATCTCTTTCTACACACACCGCCTCGCCTCCTCATGAGCTCCCCCAATATCCTCCCGAACAATCTGATCTCCAAGAGGCTAGCAATGCACTGCCAACACTTGTGCATTGTTCCATGGAAAGATAGAGGCAAAAATCAAGGGGATAGGCAGGCCGGCCAAGGAACAAGGATGCCCAGGACTGCACCCCGGCCTCCATGTACAGCCTCCCCTCACAAGTGCTCAGTCACTGGGCGTTTCCATGATGGAACTTTTTTAAACTTACAGGCATGACTTACACACACACACACACGTGCATGTACATATACACACAACATGTGCATGCGCGCGCGCACACACACACACACACACACACACACGCACCATTTCTTTTCTTAGGGAAAAATTAAGTAAACCAAATAAGATAATTAACTGTTCTATACCCACCCGCCCATGTAGACCATGTCTCCCAGCCACCTCCTTGACTCCTGTATTATTTAGAAGAAAACCCCAAGCGTTCCATGATTTCATCAATGTTTTAGTAAATATATTTAAAGATAAGGGCTCTTTTAAAACATAACCAAACTACCATAAGACCTTTAAAAAATTCAAATATGCATGTTCATTTATATTTAATTTTTACCTTGAGTATTGCAACCCAACTTTCCAGTCTGTCTAACCCTGGAGTTTGATTTGGTTTTAACTGGTGTTGTCAGATAAAATAGAGGCTGCTCAGCTATGCTGGGAACAGGGACTGAAAATTATGCATTGTTCATCTGAGATTCAAATGTAACTGTATTTTCCTGTTCTGCTTTTATTTGGTAAACAGGTAACTCTCACTTCAACCATTGATCATCTGAATGCTGGTGAGGGTATATTTTGAATAACCATAGAACATGAAAACAAGCACAGTATTTAACTTTCTTGGGACTTGGGATTGAGCAATAAGAAAGATCCACATTTGAAGGTTTAAAAAAGTGGAAAATAATCTGTCAGAACAGGTCCTTTAACGTGTAAGCCCAGAAGACCAAACATGCACGCGCCAAGTAAGAGCCAGGCTCAAGTCCTTCTGGCAGATCCAAGGCTGCACACAGAGACCCCCGAGGTCCGCTGAGACCCTGTAGCTGAGTGTGAATGAAAGCAGCAATTCTGATCTTCGTGTTACAAGGCAGATGACATTACAGGGAAGTAAGGTCTGCATGCAGTTTGCACAAGGTGCTCTTTCTCTGCCGTCACACTGAGGGCTGAGCACTACACTAGTGGAACACGCTGTCCCATTTCTTCCTGCTCATGGGTTGTTTTGGTCCATATCTCCCAGGGGCAAAGTCTGCCTCCTAAGAGCACTGATGAAAGATTTATTTCTTGGACCCCCTCTTCACTTTCTAAGACTTCGTCTATTGCTTCTTCACTTAAACAACACAAAGAATAACAAAACTAGCATTTAAAGGACAGATCATGTAGAGAACATGTAGGGGACCAGACAAACCCAAATTAATCCATGCCTTAAATTGTACCCTTCCTGGATAGGTGTGGAGAAAAATACTACGGAGAATGAACAACAGTAGTATTTAGAATGCAAAGAATTTTGTTTACTTAGATTCTTGATGTCCTTATTTTTATTATTTTAAAAATTATTTTGTAAAATGTTGAATTAGAACTTCATTTATCCCAATCTAATATATTAATAGAATCCTCTATAAATCCAATATATTAGTGGGTTACTTCTGTGGATCACTTTTTCATGGACTCGACCGGGTTTTGCTTCTTAAAAATCCAAATATTGAAATTATAACTTCTTACTGATTTTCACTTCATTATCTCCTTATCTCCCATACTTCTTTGCTCCTATTTGCCTGATAATTTATGCTCAAATTACATGAGGGAAAAATCACATTAACTTAATGGTAAGAGGGAGATTTTAATTGCATGAGAAGCAGGAAACTCACAGTTAATTCTGTCCTTCTGCATTTTGCAATTACAATCGAATCCTTTTTGTTTTTTGTAAACAAGGTTGCAAAGCACCATGACTCAAACTTCTTTATAAATACAAGGTTAGGAGAGGAGGTTCCAAAAAGCCCTGCTTTTTTCTTAAAGAGAGCTGGCATCCTGACCCCTTTGAGGTAACTATACCGAGGCCACCTGCCCGTCCCTCCTCAGAGCTGAGGCCAGCAGGCAACACAGCAGCTGCTTGGAGGCTACTGGCCAACCCATCACAATGGGCATCTCCAAAACACCCTCACAGGTCATGGGGATGCTCTTTCCATAGGGCCAGACAGACCAGGTTGGGCTCCACCCAATTCATGAAGACCTGGTACCCATCCAGCAGTCTCTGCTTCATCTATCAGTGGGGCTGACCCAACTGGCCTTCCTTACTTCTCTCAGAGACCCAGTTTTTAAGCATAAAGCACTACTTTTCATGGTTCCTTTTGTAAATTGGCATGGAGTGAACCTGTGACAGACGCCCTTTCCCACTCACTAGAATGCAATAAAATAAAAAGAAATCCATGGCTTATGGTTATTTCTCCTCCCACTACCTCTTTTCAATTCTCTCCTTTGACTTCACTCTTTCCCTGTGCTGACAGCCATGTGAAAGCTACTTACAAATCTTAATTAGCTGAATCTGGGGCCATTTACAAAGTCAGCTATCTACAAATAGTAGAGGTCCTAGTATGTCACCTCTGCAGTCTGCCTGAAAATAAAATCAAAGGCAAAAGAAACAAAACAGTTGTTTTGAGAGGGGCACTGGATGGAATGTTATCTGGGTTCTTTGCAGTGATTACAAGTCTATGACATGGTCAGAAAACACATTCCTTGAGAAATTTTTCATTTTCTACTCTGCTAATAATCTATATGCTAATCATATAACACTTTACTCTGATTAAGAGGTAACAATAAACTCAGCATTGCATTTTTTAAAGAAACTAACACTGATTTAGCACATGGTTAATTCAGTAATTATTTTTTATTCCTGGTGAAAGTATTCCATTAAAAAGCAGGTACATGTGGATTCTACTGGGTAAACTGATACTAGCTTGCTAATTATACAGAACTAAAAATTTCTGTTCAATTTTCTTTTTCTGAGTAATTACCATGGTCATGAAGAAAAGTAGGAGAGGTAAAATAAATAATCAAAATGTTAAGGCAAGGACAGGATTGGTAGGGTAAAAATAGAAGAAATGAGATTGTCAGGAAGAGGTCATTGTTAAACTCGAGTGGGGTTTTAGTAGCACTGGAAGGATTGTAATACTGAACAGTGGACAGATGGGTGCTCAGGAAGGAGGAAAAGAGGAAAAAGTAAGTTGAAATATGAAGAAGCTAAGGGATGTCTGAGCAAAGAAATAGGACAATAGCATTTTCTTCTCAATAACTAACTAGTGAGCCAGGGATTTAGCTCAGCGGCATAAGCACCTGCCTGGCAAGTGCATGGTCGTGAGTTCAACCCCTGGTATGATAAACAAAACCCTAACTAACTAGTGATATAAACACAGCCACATCCATTAAACACATATGTACACAATCAAGCTGGCTTGGGGGCTTGCACCTGTATTTCTAGCACTCCGAGATGAAGAGGAAGGATCACTAGCACCTGGGAGACTGACACACAGCAAGACCCCATCTCAAAATTAACTAATTAATTAATTAAAATAAATATTTGTTTAAATGGTCAAAGCTTGACCAATAGGATTCAAATAGGAAAGACGCATAGCCTCCTGCTATAAACTTGGAAAATGGGCCACCAGGGAAAGAAACGTAAGATTCTAACACTGTTTCTAACTTGCCCTCAGTACCCCCACAACCTCATGCTCAGCAGTAGCAGAAGCAGTGGCAGTGATGGTGAATTGCCAAGTCCCACAGATTCTCACAAATGCCCACACACTTGGAAAGAAACATGACTATATTTATCTTTCTTCTTCTTTGACTGTGCAGGGCCTGGAAATGCTTGCTAGAGAGACATGAGCAAAGCCTGGGCAACAAACCACAGAGTGTGACTCTCTGTGATGAACTGGAGAGGATCCAGGGTCCAAACTAAATTGGAGGAGCAATATGAATTGACAGAGCACTTACAATTGGAAAAAGCTACGCCCATATTATGTCCCAAAAATCTGGGCAGGTGACATTTTACCAATTTTTCAACAGTAGCCAAGCCAAATCTTTGCAACAAAACTGTAAACATCTACACTGGAGCTTGTCTCCTTCTCCATGTATAATATTTGCTTTCAAACCATAGCTCAGAAGAAGAAAACCAAGCTTAAAACAAGCTGGGAAAGAATCAAACTAATGCTCCAATATACGAAAATAAATAAAAGGTCAGGACAGTGCTACCTGTGCTTAAGGAGCAAAAAGCATGGCAATTATGTAAAACTAATACAACAACCCATAGAAAGAGACAGAAAGAAGTTAACATGTAAAAGACAAAGAAGCCAATCTTGAAGAAGACACAATCCAAGAACCAGAAGAAAATTCTCTGCAGATAACTTAAACTATGAAATAAATTAACAAAAACATGCAGTAAGAATACAAATTCAGTATAACAAAAGCTCAGTGATGACAAAACAACAAAATGAGGTGAAAATGATGATTTCAATGTAAAGTAAATAAATTAAGGAACAAAATAATACCAAGACAGGAGCACTAATGAAACAAACAGCAAAGAAAAGTACAGACATTAAGGAAAATAGCATTAATAATATAGAGGTCGCTTGAAACAAACATGGACC